AACACCCCCCCCCCCCCTGTTTATTTCCGTGTTCATTGGGAGAGATCCAGCAGCCTTTAAAGAATCACAGAAAAGCGAAAACGTAAATGCATGAAGGATCACTTACAGTATTAAGAACAAATTATCGAGGAGCTTGATTTTGATGACAGATAATTAAGAAGACGGTCTCTAGCCGTACTTATTGCAGCAAAACATACACACAGATGTTGCTCAAGACCCAGAAGCTCGTCAAGGAAAGTGCTATGTCTCCTCTGAAGTTGCTTCAGTGCCTCCTGGATGTGATACCGATCTCTTCCACTCTCTAGCCCAAAGAGAATAGTACCATTGTAGGACTCCACCGCGTCATGTAACCGGCCCACCAGACTCTTTACAGTATTTAAGTGATTGTGGAGGAAAAAAATCCCTCTTGTTGCTTCATCCAGCTGCATGAGATCTAGTTCTTTCTTTTCCATACTTAAAGGGAGGCAAGCGGGGCAGATTGGGATGGCAACAAGCGCAGCAAAACCATGAGTAGCTATAATAACAGCTGATATGACCACTCCAACAGTAGCTGCAAGTAAACATACAGCTGAGCCCCTGATGGTACGTCGGAGAAGTTGGACCATTGAATGTGACTTGTATAGACGAAGTTCAAGCTGCTTCTTTAGCTGGAAGGAGCTATCAAACATATCATTGAAGTTATAGGTGTCACGGCCAGGAAAGTGATTAGCAAGGCTGTCGAACTGGAGGAAGATGTCAAATGCCAAATCATATTGAGCTTGCGAAAGGGAATGTCCAACAGACTCCAAGTCCAGGGCAAGGACATCAAGAAGTTTATGAATTGGGGCATACAAGAGTCGAGCTTTGTTCACACTTTGAGAGATAAGGATACAGAGACGAGCAGTTTGCTCAGTACTGTCAAGGTAGTTAGTAATAAGTTGGTTTAGGGCATCTGGTCTTATATGCAAAAGTGTCTCTTGGACAGACTCATGGTTGGGTTTAAGGACGTCCTCTAGTTGCAGCAGTTCCTTCTGGAATTCAATTTGTGCTACCTCGACGTTCAGGTCCGGAGGGACCACATGATGCACCTTGGACCAGATCTCTTTGTTGCAAGAAGCTTGAACAACAAGTGCATATGCTTGTGAGAGGTCGACAGTAGGTGAAGCTCGGGAACTTGATGTTTTATCATCAGCTAAACCACCTGCAGTTCATTTACATAGATTTGAAGGTATCAGAACATCCCTTTTCATTCAAACCATCCAACGTTAGAAATATGATGCAGAGTAGATTACTATCAGCAGAAAAAAAGGTAAGGAAATTGTACGCCATATAGAAAATTTTTAGGGGATGCACAAGTCTAGCATGAACTTTTTAAGAGAACAGATGCGCGAGTCCTTCCTTGGAGGAAATAATTATCTGATAGGATTCTACCCCCCCCCCCCCCCCTTTTTTGGTTCTTATAAATCAGAATTCCATTAACACCACACCAAGATGATTCCAGGAAATATGTACGGAAAGGATTCTACCGCTATCTAATGCTTCTCCAAGAGAACAAATATATGGAGCAGCTGCATTGCTTGTCGTTCTAGCCACTCCACTCAATCTCACATGTGCCTATTCAAGACTAAACCACAGAGATTTCTCATCTTACAACACCAACAACAAATAATCAGTGAAATCCAATAAGTGCGGTCTACGGAGGTTAGTGTATATGCAGAATTTATCCCTACCTTGGGAAGGTAGAGAGGTCGTTTCCGATAAACTCTTAGCTCAATGAACAATGAAAAGAAGCAGTAATAACAAGCAGTAGCAACAGCGAGATACAAAGAAAACCGAAGCGAAAAATAATAAGAAAACAACATGTAGTAATAGCAATCTAGGAATAAGAAAAATACCAAGCTAACACTAATACTACAGGTATGGAAAAGAAAAATAAAAACGCTCGACTAACTACTAACCTTCTACCCTAATCCTCGACCTGCACATACTCCTATCAAGGGTCATGTCCTTGGCAAGCTGAAGCAGCACCATGTTCTGCCTAATCACCTCTCTCCAATACTTCGTTGGCCTACATCTATCTCTTCTCATATCCGCTAAGGCAAACCTCTCACACCTTCTTATTGGGGCATCTGTGCTTCTCCTCTTTACATATCCGGACCAGCTTACCCTTGCTTCCTGCATCTTGTCCTCCACGGGGGTCACTTCCACATTTCCCCGAATATCTTTATTCCTAATCTTATTTAATCTGGTATGCCCGTAAATCCATCTCATCCTCATTTCTACTACATCCATCTTCTGGATATGGGAGTTCTTGACTGACCAACACTTTGCCCTATACAACATAGTCGGTCTAACCACCGTTCTGTAACTTATCTTTAAAACTTTCTCATCTTAAGTAAATATTTTGAACTTCCTATTAATTATATGAAACTTACAACCAGTGGCGGAATCAGGAATTTAAGCAAGGGGATTCAAAAAATATTAGAATGTCACTTGGGATAAGCACCGGTGACCTAGAGCACCTTTTGAACCCCTTTTTACCGCAACACTAGAATTTTCCCTTGTATTAAGGGGATAGCAGTTTATACATAACCGAAGAAAATTATTTTTCCCAATTTGTGCATAATAATTTTTCATGGGATTTAATTGAATCCCCTTACATTCTACTAGCTCTGCCGCTGCATGTACCTAATTACAACCCGCCTCGCACCTACCATGTGCCACACAAACAGTTATACATATTGAATCTTTGCTCATTTTCAAATCTTATAATGCTTCAACTAACATAGCTTCAAGTTTAGGATAACAACAGAAACCGGCGAAACGTAATTGTTTCTTATGTACTTCATTACAGCTAATTAAAATTCAAAAAAAAATTTACCTTCCAAAGCTGGAGGGGAGTGGTTAGTTTTTGCTGTTAATGACAACCGCCGCAGACAATGCAGCATTTGTTTCCACTGTGTGTCTGGTGCTGGTACACAGCACAAATAGAGATCATATATTCGATGATACAGAGGAAAAATCAATCAAATGATCCAAAGCGCAAAGCAGAATCTGCAAAAGTAAGGTGCAATAGTGAAATTAATTGGTTACTTCATTTTGCATTGCTCACATTGAAGAAGCAACTACAACATTAAACCTTATAATGCTTCGCAATAGTTTCCAAGAATTACAATTTACAACATACTACTATTCACTTCTCCACCACCCCCAACTCCAAAAATGAGATTGGTATTAATTAAAGAACATTGAATTTTTCAAACAAAGAAGATAAAATTTAAGAACTTAAATCAGATAAAAGCACACGAAAAGAAATTAAAGGGAAAGGAAAAATTTTAAAAAGAAAAGGAAAAAAACGACAAAGAGCTCTAACTTGCTTACCCTGAATCAAACACACACCCAAATGAAATTCTTAACAAGACAGCAAATGGGTCGTCGAAGATGTGAGGTGATGTGCTAAGAATCTAGAGAAAAGCCTGTGTTGTTGACTTGTTTTAAAACCTTAAAAACAGACCAACAAGTTTTACTAGACAAAAATGCTTTTTTTTCTTCAACAAAAGAAGTTCCTTAAAACTTGGTCAAACAAGTCATTTCTTTTCTTTCTTTTTTCTTTTTTTACATTTCTTCTTTCTCTTCTTTTTCTTCAATTTCTCTTGTAGCAAAAGGACCGACTCTAATATTATGAGTAGTGACGCTCCTGCCTTAGGCCCTCAAATTTTGGGGCCCAATTTTTAAAAAATAAAAGGTTTATAGGTATTTGAAAAACTAAGTCTTAGGGTACGCCCGTTGCGCCTGTTCCCATGTTAATAAGTAAATAATATTTAAAAACTCACATAAGTATTAAACAATATCTTTGACTTATAATGAAAATAATAATGTATATGTGATGACCCAAAAGACCATCTTATGTTTTAGAACTCGATTCCGTATTCCGAGGCCTTCAACACCTCATTTTATTTCTCCTCGATTTGTGTGCACAATCCGTGCGTATTTTTGGAAAGCTTTTATGTTGAAAGTTGATAAAAATAATAATTTTTGCCTTTAAAAGTTGATTTAGTTGACTTCGGTCAATGCTTTGAGTAAACGGATCCTGACTCATATTTTGACAGTCCCGGTGGATCCGTATTGAATGGGACCTGGACGTATGCCCGGAATCGAATTCTGAGGTCCTTAGCTCGAGATATGGATTTTTGATGAAAATTGAAAGACTAAAATTAAATGGTTTTAAGAATTTGATTAATGTTTGATCTTGTTGGTATCAGGCCTGTATTTTAATTACGGAGCCCGGTATAGGTCCAAAATAATATTTATACCTTATCTTTGATATTTGGTGAGAAGCGGAACTGATTTGACGTGATTCAGACGTCCGGTTGTGAAAATAGGAATTTCAAAGTGTTCTAAAGAATTCCATGTGATTTGGTGCTAAATTCGTAGTTCTAGGTGTTATTTTGGCGATTTGATCACACGAGCAAGTCTGTATAATATTTTTAGACTCGTGTGCATGTTTGGTTTGGAGCTCCAAGGGCTCGGGCGAGTTTCGGATAGGTTAGAGGATGTTTTGGACTTGGAAAATCTGGTGTAAGAGTGATGTATCTGGTGTTTGTTGCATTGTGCTTCGCGATCGCGTAGTCACTCTCGCGATCGCGAAGGGAAAACTGGGCTAGGGAGGACTTTACCCTACGCGAATGCGAGACCAGGGTCGCGAACACGGAGCATTGGGAGGAGTTTCTCTACACGAACGCGACTGGTCGACCGTGAACGTAGCTTTAAATAGGCTGGTCAGGTGACCTGGGAAGCTCTGTGCGAACACGAGCCTGGCTCGCGAATGCGAAGGTGAGGTGGGCTAAACCTTTGCGAACGCATAGTGCCTCCTGCGATCGCGTAAGTCCTTAGGAGGCTGCTCTTCGCAAACGCGACAGTGTCCTTGTGAACGCGATGGACACTGTCGCCCAACACTTAAAACAGAAACAAAAAATGGGAATTGGCTATTATTTCAAAATTTTCAAAACTAGAAGAACTAGAGGCGATTCTCAATAGACAATTTCTTCCCCAAAGTGTTGGTAAATAATTCTAAACTACTTTCTTTCAATTACTCATTACATTTCATGAATTTTCAACCTCAAAACTAGGGTTTTCATGATGGAAATTGGGGTTTGGGTAGAATTAAGGATTTTTGTATACATGGAATTTAGACCTCAATTCGGGATCGGATCTTGAAACTAATTACATATTCAGGCACGGGGGATGAATGAGTGAATGGATTTTGGTTCGAACTTCGACTTTTGACCAAGCGGGGCCGAGGTCGATTTTTGACTTTTTGGGGGAAAGTTTGGAAAACCTAAATTGATGTATTGAAATTGATTTCTTTAGCAATATTTGATGTTACTAAGTTAACTATGGCTAAATACGAGTGGTTTGGAGGTGAAATCTAGAGAAAAAATGATAATTGAGCAGTGAGTGGCATGTGGATCGAGGTAAGTGTTGTGTCTAACTTTGACTCGAGGGATTAGGAATCTTTGACTTAATTTCTATGTGAAAATCCATGTGAATGGTATATAGGTAAGGTGACGAGTACCTATGCGCCGCCAATCTATCTGTTTGCATGTTTTCTTCCCATTCTTATTATATTGTCTTCCCTGCCTTAACTGCTACATGTTTTACTGGTATTTTCATGCTTAATTGCTACTAGTCAGACATCGTTTTTCATTGTGGAAGGTATTAATTACCCAGTAGTTTCATTGTCTCATATTATTGGCTTAAGCTGGTTTATCAATATTTTATGGTATATTTTGGATTAGTTCTGCTGAGTAGTATTATTTGTGTAAAGTTTCATAATGTACAAGATTTTCGTTTGCTTTGGTTTGAGGTTTAAATATTGTGAAGAGTTTTGAGTTAAATTGTGAAATTTCTATACTTATTGAGTAATTGATGTTGATATGGTAGGATCGGGTTGCGCACCGCAACAGGAGGAATAAGGGTGATATTTTGAGAAGGAATAAGGGTAAAATACTATTATACGACGGGATCGGGTTGCACGCCACAACAGGAGGAATAAGGGTGGATTGATATGGAGTAATAAGAGTGAATATTCATATTGATATTAATATATGGTGAGATCGGGATGCGCGCCGCATCAGTTTATGTGTTTAAGCATCTTTTTTCTACTGTGTAAGTTATTATGTAGTTTTGCATTTCACTTAAGGATTGATTATAACTTGTACTGATAAGACACTTGAATTTTGTATTCATTCCTTGCAAGTTACTGCTTTATTTTGTCGTGTCCTTCTTTCTGCTTTTATTATTCACTGTAAACATGTTATATTGTAACTACCCCGCCGTAGCCTCGTCACTACCTCATCGAGGTTAGACTCGGCACTTACCAGTACATGGGGTCGTTATACTGATACTGCACTTTGCACTTTTTGTGCAGATTTTGGAGCAGGTAGTGGCTGATCGAGAGGTCGGGTGCAAATATTTTTCAGCTAGGAGACCCAAGGTAGTCTCGCTGGCGTCCGTAGGCCCTGACGTCCCCTTATATGCTCCTACATTTACTGTTTTTACTTCCCTTCATAAACAGTTGTATCTTCTTTCGAACAAATATTTTTAGCAAATCTTAATGCGTTCGTGGATTGTGACACCGGATTCTGGGTAGTAATAGCAATAGTATTGGTAATAGTATACAGACAAGGAAGCTATTTACTTACTTTTGCATTTCTTTCTACTTGTTCTAGCTTGTTTATTTTAATCACTGAGACGTAAAGAAAATTGGTTAATGATACTCTAACATTGGCTTGCCTAGCACGTGTGATGTTAGGCGCTATCACTTTCACGATAGTGGGAGTTCTGGGTGATGACAGTATAACTTTCTAAAAGAATATGTGTTGATTCCAAATCCAACCCAATGGTACTCCTTAAGTTTTTTAAGAATATCTTATGAAATTTGTTGTTATTTTTATGCTTTAATATCGAACAATCAACTAAAAAAAATACTTTTATCACAACGAGGTTGTCCTGTAACTCCTATAAAATTTAATAAGTGAAAATATAAGTTTTAAAAATGACTATTGTTGAGTCAATAATTTACAATTATAAATGAATATATAAAAATATACAGAGTTTTCATTTGTTAGAATATTTGTAAAAAGAAAAAGAAAAATAATTTGCAATATATTTTATCTTATATTATTTCATCCTTATTGTTTCAAGTTTGCATAAGTCAATAGAAAAATAATTATTGATTATATGTTGTATTACAATTATATATAAATTCAATATATTTATAGATGATGTTTGCAAGTCAAAATAATTATTGAGTGTAGATTTAAATATTATGTAAATATTAAAAAATAAAATTTTAATTAATTTTAAAGTTCTAAATATTAAACAAAAATTAACATTGAAGGTATTATAATTATGGTACAAACTTCAAATAATAAATAATTTATTTAAACTAATTTCTTTTGTCCCTTCCAGGCGAACGGAAAATAAAAAAATGGTTAATATATTCAAGATAATTATGTATTTATAAAATACCGTCTCAATTCATTATATTTCATCAAATCCAGGATGTGATATGGTTCTGAAGGATGAACCGGATATGAACAGTTCCAATAAGATTTTATTCTTGAACAAAAATTTATTTTTTGATTTATTTCATCTATTCCATGACCGGAACAGGGGAGGATTCACGTCCAACTATGAAGAAGAGAGATTTCAAGAAATGAAAGATCTATTCACTCCATCAATAACCGAGTCGGATCAAGTATACCATAAGGGATTTGCCTTTTCTATTGATTCCTGCGGATTGGATCAAAAATAATTCTTGAATGAANAGAAATGGCAGATCTATTCACTCTATCAATAACCGAGCCGGATCTGGTGTATCATAAGGGATTTGCCTTTTCTATTGATTCCTGCGGATTGGATCAAAAACAATTCTTGAATGAGGCCAGGGATGAATCGAAAAAGAAATCTTTATTGGTTCTACCTCCTATTTTTTATGAAGAGAATGAATCTTTTTCAAATGGGTCCGGATCTCCTGCGGAAATGATTTAGAATATCCAAAATCAAAATAGTGGTATTTGCTAGCACAACATAATGAAGCCAGTTACTCAATATAGATTGATCCGAAATCTGATTCAAATCCAATATAGTACCTATGGGTACATAAGAAATGTATTGAATCGACTCTTTTTAATATATATCCGATCGCAACTTCGAATATGAAATTCAAAGGGATCAAATAGGAAAGGATACTCTGAATTATAGAAGTATAACGAAATATACGATCAACCAATATTTGTCGAATTTGAAAAAGAGTCAGAAGAAATGGTTCGAGCCTCTTATTTTGATTTCTCGAACCGAGAGATCCATGAATCGCGATCCTAATGCATATAGATACAATGGTCCGATGAGAGCCGTTTTCAAGTAGTGTTCGATCGATTAAGTATTAATCAATATTCGATTGATTGGTCTGAGGTTATCGACAAAAAGGATTTGTCTAAACCACTTCGTTTCTTTTTGTCCAAGTCACTTCTTTT